AGTGTGTCTGTATGAACCCCTCTCTCTCAGTGCAGTGTTAATGTACTGGAGTGTCCAGTCAGTCAGTGTGTCTGTATGAACCCCTCTCTCTCAGTGCAGCAGACTCCTGGAGAAAGGCACTATGACGGATGTGAAGACTGCAACAGTCCCTCCTGGTTCTGATCCACAGCAGCAGCCCGGTTTGAGCTCAGCTCCTCCTGCTCCTTCGTATGATGCTCCTCCTCCCTACCTGCCCCCTCCATACCCCACAGGTACGGTTGCACCAGTCCCCCCAGTCCCTCCAGTCCCACAGCCTGTGAATCAGCAGGATCACAGCAACAGCTGAGCCGATCCAGTGAGGAGAACTGGGATCTAGTCCCGATCTGGTCTGTACTGCTATGGATAACAGTGTCCCAGTTCGCTACAGGTTAAACATTTATCTTAACTGTCTTCAGTAGATATCTAATTAAAGGTCGTTGTCTTCCTCTGTGGTATAGTGTCTGTATACTCTCATACCCCAGTTTCCGAGCCTAATTCGTTCCTGAAACTCTTTTCTGAAGGCGGGAGAGATCGTAAATTGACAATAAATTATTTGTTTTGGGGAAAATGCCACCCCATTCCGAACCGAACACAAGTTCACTCCAAAACCGCCCTATAGCTGTGAAATAATTGATATCATATTTAAATCTTTCATTCTTTCGTAATAGATCGCTATCCAAGCGATCGGCTAGAACGATAGCATACTGTTGTGGGCTAGGACGCTAGAGAATCTTTTTCCCTTCCTGAAGACCCCACAATGAGCAGCAGCTACAAAACAAACACACCAGAGCACTTTGAAAAGGAGCTTTCGCTGTGGCCGTAAAGAAGGCGCTGCGGCCTCACGGCGCCCAGGCAGAGACGGGCAGCTGTTCTGCGGCGCTGAATCCAGATGTTCGCCGAAGGGTCTCGCCCCAAAATCGGTCGCTTTCGAACTCCGAAGTTCGGAGTAGCGAAGCCCCGTCCCCATAACGAATCACAGGGTACGAATCCTTCATGTTCGGACGAGCGACAATTCGTCCACCGAACGCTGTGATACCGGGGTGTGAGTGTATGTCGGATAAGATCAGACTGTGTTGTCTCCTGAGGGATTGTTTTATGGATACCCAGCACTCCTGTACATTTAAATAGAATGCAAACAAAAAAAAAACCAAAACATTGCAAAAAATGAGAAAAACATTGCACATTTAAAGCCTAAACATGGTCAGTTGTCGTCACAGCAGCCTTTTCTCCCTGTTTCTCCGTGGTCGTCCGCGAGATGCGAGTTTCTCCTCAGTGCGGTGTGAATATGGTCTTTCTGAATTTCCCACTCT